ATCTTTAGTATAATTTGTTATATTACACCATTTCTACTTTAAAGAGTGGAACTGGCCACTCCTAGCACAATCCACTATATAATAAAAGAACTGTTCTTAATTTGAAATGCTAGCCAAAACACTCTTGAGGTTTGGAGGAGACTTAGGTTTTGTTTGGGACGGATTTCTTACTGCTTTCAAAAGAGCTTTTTAGCACAAAAATTTAATTTTTGAACTAAAAAGCTTCTTTAAGTAGTAAGAAAGCTGTCTCAAATGAAGCCTTAGGGTCAGCTTGGGATGGCTATATTTTTTTATAAATGTGGTTGTAAAGTAACTGTAGATAAATTAACTATTTTGAAAGTCGTAATAAAAACCACCTTCTGAGCATAAATTTTTTTTGAAAGCTATAAAATAAAAATGACCAAACATAAATTGTGATTGTGGATTGAAAAATAAAGCAGTAAGAAAACCTTCCCGAACGAAGTCGTAATGGCTATCACTTACAACTATGAAATACAAAATATTTTATATGAACTTTAATTATAAAATAAATAAAACAAGAGTAATCAAATTAAATAACAGTCCTAAAAAATGGAATCAAATCAAAGGTTTCTTTAGCTTTTAAGGTGACTTGGGTTTTGTTTGGGACTGTTTTCTTATTGCTTCTTAAAACGGTTTTCTAGTACAAAATTTAAAATTTTTATACTAAAAATTTATTTTAAGAAAAAGTAATAAAACCGTCCCAAACAAAATCTTAACGACTATCACTTAAAATAGCAATTTACATATACATAACACTTCATTGCAATATAAATAAAATAACAGTACTAACATATTGATTGGAAGAACTTTATATAAGAGCCATAGAGACCTTGAGATGTTTCACACTTTACTTTTTCTCTAAGACATACGCCTTATATTAAAAAAAAATTTGAAATTTAAGTGGAATCATTAAAAATTAGGGGTTTTTACATACTTAACACTTAAAACTATATTATTTACACATATAACACCTAAACTTATCTATTTACACAAATACCACTAAAAAGCTGTTTATCTTTCTAAAATACCACTCCGTTTCTTCTCCCGTGAAAACCCATCTGATACCCTTATTTGCACGCAAAACTCATCTTTCTCAGTGTTTGCTCATCTTCTCCATTCCGTCGAAGATCAAAACGCATCTCTGCTCCCGTAAAAACACGGCCCACCGTTACCATTGACGCCGCTCGTCAAGCCTACTGTCTGTTCTACCTCTCAAACTAAACAAAACCGATTAGGTAAATAGCCTCTCATCCCATCCAAACTCCTGTTTCAGCTATTCGATGAAAGTAACTAAAGCAGATAAGGAGGTTTATGGCTGGTGTTTGTGAGATCTAAAGGTATAAACCCTAAAAACAGAAAAATAAAGAAATAAATGTTCTTACATATAACTAAAAAAATCATTGAAACAAATCGATATTTTACATATAAGAATTTCTTCATTTTGAACCACAACTGAATTTTTTGAGAAATTGTACATATATCCAAGTTTGAGAAATTCTGTTGTTATTTGAGAAGCAATGGAGAAAGGAGCTGCTATTTTTCACTGGAGCTCTTCTGCTCAGTTCGCTTCTCTCATATCATTTGCCTTGTTTGCTAAGTGAAGAGCTCTGTTTGTTTCCTCTACTTGGGGATCTATGTTACTGTGAGATCTTTTGTGTTTGTTGAAGGGATTTGCGAGATATGATAGAATTCCTTCTGTTGATGTTTGTATGAAGTCCTGTAATTTTGTCTTGCGAGCGAAGAAGCGAGTGATCGAATGGGTTTTCATGGAGCAGAAACGGAGAGGTATTTTAGAAAGGTAAAGAGCTTTTTATTAGGATAGGTGCTTAGTAAAATTACAAATTATATACTTGTAGCCAATAATAAAATGACATGCGTCTTGCTAGTCATTTCTCATCTATTTAAACTCACTCATGTACGACAGCTAAGGTGAATAAGACAATACATCTTTTCCTCTTCTTGATTCATCTTCCTCTTCTCCGGCCTTGCTCCGACGATCAACCGATCCATCCAATTCTACATGGTATCAGGCCTTTCGTTTCCTTTCCTTCTCGTCCTCAATCATGACGATTTCCAATTCCGCTTCTTCCTCAGCTACAGAACAGCAGCCAAGAATTCTGACCGAGAACTCCCCAATATCCCATTCACTCAAGTTCGTCGTGTCCAATCTCAAGACTCTCGTTCCGCATCAATTATCACCGGACAACTATCCTATCTGGCGTCATCAGATTCTCAAGCTCCTTCGGGCAAATGATTTCGAGCTGTTCTTGGCTCCGCCCACGCATTCCGGCAATACCTCCGATCCCGATATTGATCCTGTCATCAAGAATTGGAAGATTACCGATTAGAACCTTCAAGCTGCGGTTTGCTCCACAATTTCTCCGGCGGTGCTACCCTACATCATCCACCTCGACACAACTCACGAAATATGGCAGGCTCTTGAAAGTCAATTTCAGGACACTAGCCGCTCCAAAGTCATACAGCTTCTCAATGAACTTCATCACGTGTCGATGAAAAACCTTTCAATGACGCAATATCTCACAGAGATCAAGAAACTTGTCGATCAAATCGCCTCCGCCGGATCCTCCATCGACTCCGAAGACATTATATTACATATCTTGAATGGGCTAACTCCGGCGTATCAATCGTTCAAGACATACGTTCGAAATTCTCCCCTACCCATTCGACTCGAAAATCTTTATGCAATGCTAATAAGTGAAGAAATTCACGTTAATGCCGATGCCGCTCGCCTTCACACTGATACGATCCAGCAATCCGCTCTGTACTCTAACAGGGGTCGCGGTCGTAGGAACCGCGGACGCTCGTCTCAGGCATCACAGTCGGTTTCTCGCACTAGCCAGCAGCAATCGCTTCCCGTTTGTCAAATTCGCCTCAAGAAAGGGCATACGGCGGACGCATGCTGGCATAGGATGAATGCCAACTATATCCCGCAGTCGAATACATCTAAACAGAACAATGCTCTCGTCGCAAACTCAGAAGCTCCATCTCAAGACTGGTACCTGGACACAGGGGCCTCTTTGCACATGACGAACACCAGCGACAACCTCTGTCAATCCACTCCCTATATGGGCAACGACGGTATCTTCATCGGGGATGGCAGGAACATCCCGATTGCCCACTCGGGCACGGGTATTCTTCCCACCCCGAATCGTAAGTTTCTCTTATCTAATTTGCTACACGTTCCCAAAATCTCTTACAATCTCCTGTCCATCTCTCAACTTGTTAAAGATAACAACATTTCAATTACTTTTGACCCTTCCGGTTTTGTATGTAAGGATCTGACGACAAACAAGCAGCTTTTACGCGGTCCTTGTAAAGCAGGTCTCTACAAGATTACACCTACTTCAACTACTACCTCTCCGGAACTCGCCTGCACTGCATACACGAACCCAAACTTCACCTGGCATGATCGTTTGGGACATCCGCATTTCAAGATCTTGAAGAATATAGCTCAAAGCAATTCGGCATTACACATATCTTCTTTCAATACTTCATGTACCACTTGTATTCAATGTAAACTGCATAAACTACCTTTTGAAAGTTCTACCTCTCGAACGAACACACCACTCGCACTCGTGCACTCCGATGTTTGGGGCCCGTCACCGATTTCCTCTACTAACGGTTTTCATTTTTTCGTTATGTTTGTTGATGATTTCTCCCGATATACTTGGTTGTTTCTGATTATCCATAAATCTGAAGTTACTTCAACGTTTATTACATTTACCAAGTTTATCGAAAATCAAACGAAGCAATCTATTAAGATTCTCAGGACCGACGGTGGAACAGAATTTAACAATTATGCCATGAAATCATTCTTGCATTCCAAAGGTATTGGTCATCAAATGTCTTGTCCCTACACTCCGGAGCAAAACGGAGTGGCCGAGCGCAAGAACCGCCACATCGTGGAGACCGTTCGGTCTTTGCTTCACAAAGCCTCTATGCCATTCCAATATTGGCCTGAGGCCACTGCAACTGCTGTATACTTGATTAACAGGATGCCCTCTTCAAACACCCAAAACAAATCTCCCCTGCAGCTTCTCTTTAATACTACTCCCGAGTATACTCATCTTCGGGTCTTCGGGTGCGAATGCTTCCCGCTTCTTCCATCTCATACACGGACAAAATTTGATCCGAAATCAAAATCTCACGTCTTCATGGGATATTCAGATCGGCATAAAGGCTACATTTGCCTTGACAGGGAATCTCATAAACAGTTTATCTCTCAACACGTTCGATTCATTGAAAATTCGTTTCCGTTCGCTACTAACTCTCCGTCCTTGCAGATATCTTCACCGGTTTTGCCTTACTCGTTGCTTTTGCCAACGTCTAAATCCCCTGAGTTCAATACGCAGCATACAAGACTTCAGCCACAAGCATGTTCCTCAACCAATCCCACGCACATTCTTGCAGCTTCTCCCATACATTCTCCTCCGACTAATCATGGTGATATCACTGCCCGTAACATATCTTCCCCCGCGCAAGTGAGACATCCAATGATCACTAGAGCTCAGACGGGCTCCCTAAAACCACTGCAACGTCTCAATTTGATGGCTAACACGCTAAACCCTGCGGACTCCGAACCCGATCCTACCACTTTCAAAGAGGCATCCAAACATAGGGAATGGAGGCAAGCGATGGCCGATGAGTTCGTAGCACTTCAACAGCAAGGCACTAGGGATCTTGTCCCACATCCATCTAACGCTCCCGTCCTCGGTTGCAAATGGACGTTCCGCAAGAAATTCAACTCTGACGGCAACGTGGCTCATTTCAAGGCTCGGTTAGTCGCTCAGGGCAACTAGCAGGAGTATGGCATCGACTACGGCGAGACGTTCAGTCCAGTTGCTAAACTACCAACCATAAGGGTCCTCTTCACTATAGCCCTGTCTAAAGGGTGGCCGGTTCAGCAGTTGGATGTATCCAATGCTTTCCTCCATGGACAACTTACAGACACCGTTTATATGGCACAACCAAGAGGATTCATTGACAACGAATTTCCCGAGCACGTCTGTCACCTTCGAAAATCTATATATGGCTTACGTCAGGCACCGCGACAGTGGTATACTACATTCACGAAATACTTAATTCAACTTGGATTTCACTATAGCACGGCGGATCCCCCTCTGCTCACATTCAAACAAGATTCGACTCTTCTCTTTCTGCTTGTATACGTCGACGACATTCTGGTGACCGGGAACAATGAAGCACTCCTATCAAACATGCTGTCCAAATTACACAGTAAATTCAATATGAAGAACCTCGGCTTGGCTCATCACTTCCTTGGCATCAAAATACAAAAACTTCAAGATAAGTATTTCCTATCTCAGTCTGCTTACGCTACCTCCATTTTAAATTCAGTAAATCTACTTCACTGTAACCCCCTCACTAATCCCTCGTGCACGAAACTTCCCGATCAGGTTCCAAACGACAGCAATCTATCCGCAAACGAGACCTACAAACGGGTAACAGGATCGCTGCAATACTTGACGTTAACTCGCCCGGACATTGCACACGCGGTTAACGTCCTCTCTCAGCATCTGCATGAACCATCTCAAACACATGCCTACCTTCTCAAGCGACTGTTACGATACATCAAAGGAACACTGTCGTTCGGCTTACCCATTCTACCGGGATCACTCAACCTTTCTACCTACTCAGACGCAGACTGGGCAGGCGATCCAGTCACAAGAAAGTCCACAATGGGTCACTGCACATTCCTCGGCAGCACGCTCGTCTCGTGGACAGTCAAGAAGCAGACGACAGTTGCTCGGTTGTCCACAGAATTCGAATACTGGGCACTCGCAGCTGCTACCGCCGACACCATTTGGCTCAAGCGTCTGCTTACCGACTTCAGTATACAACATAGCCAGCCGATCGAGCTCTTCTGCGATAACACCTCTGCAATCGCGCTCGCACACAATCCAGTGTATCACGCCCGCACGAAGCATATCGAAATTGATCACCGGTTCGTCCGCGATCATATTCAAAACCAGGTCATCCGCCTAACTCCGATCGACACTCTTCATCAAATCGCGGACATCTTCACTAAGCCACTACCTACAGCTCGATTCAAGGATCTCCGCTCCAAACTCACGATTCAAGATGAATCATCCGTTTGACAGGGGCTATTAGGATAGGTGCTTAGTAAAATTACAAATTATATACTTGTAGCCAATAATAAAATGACATGTGTCTTGCTTGTCATTTCTCATCTATTTAAACTCACTCATGTACGACAGCTAAGGTGAATAAGACAATACATCTTTTCCTCTTCTTGATTCATCTTCCTCGTCTCCGGCCTTGCTCCGACGATCCGCCGATCCGTCGATCCATCCAATTCTACACTTTTAAGTGGTATGTATGTAAATATGTAAGTTTAGGTGTTAGATGAGTAAATAATATAGTTTTAAATGTTATGTATGTAAAAACCCCTAAAAATTAAAATAGAAGCGTAGTGGAAGTACTTCATGACTAGCTATAGTCAATTAACTCCCAATTGGCCAAATTTAGCTACAGCCAATACTCTAGTGGTTATATTGAACTAGCTAATCAAGGAGCATTTAAAAATTAAAAATAAAATCATAATAAATTCATTTATAATAGAAATAGGTCATATGATATATAAAATAATATGCAAAAATAATAAAATACGCTGATAATGAATTAAGTTCGAATTCAACAAGTACAAAATGATTTCTCCATTGATTACCAATTATTATATATTAATTTTTAAATGTACTAACATATAGATGTATTAGAAATATTCCATAAAATATTCAATTAAAAGCTCTAAACAAATTAAAAACTACTAAAATATATATTAGCTTTAATTATTCTAGTTAAATATTATTAACAAGAAAATTATAAATTTAATGACAAAATATGAAACATAAACTCAAACAAACTCTTCAATAATATTATTGATACATCTCCAAAAATAGTCTTGGTCGTACATGAATCTTGAGGCATATTCAAGTTGAAAATTTTCAAAATTAAATGCAGGACTGTGAACTCCAATTTCACCAAACTTTTAGTTAAACTAAATGTCTCGAAGAGACGAACCCAACGATACCAAAATAGGTCCAATCTGAGCCAAAATGAGTCCAAATTAAGAGTTTGAAGCATATTCAAAAGGATCAAAGCTTTAATTGGATCATAAAATGATATCCACATATGACATGCTTATAGTCGTATTGAGCGGCTCGGCGACATGAATCCAACGAGCCAAAGATCGCTGAATTTTGACATCATTAAAACATTTAAACACTTGAAAAATGCTCTATGATAAGGGGAATCAATATGGGTCATCTGATGAGGCACTCAGAGCCTACCCTGGATCTTCTTTATATTTATGGGATGTTCCACTCACAAAAATATATAAATAGACCTCTAATCTCTACATAAGGGGAGACATTTGGCTACATATTGGAGAGAGCTCTAGGGCTTCAAGAGCTCCGCACCACCGCTGGCGAAACATCCATCGACCGTCGCCCGAGCACTAACCGGCCCACGACAGCCCCTGGACTTCTACTTGGCAGCCGACCGCTGCCAAACTTCCACTTGGTCTCCAATAGTTGTCGGACTACAACCCAAACATCATCGAACCACCGCCCAGCTTTCAATCATCCTTGAACTTCCAGCCGGTCGCCAACTAACACTAGACACCCACCTGACCATCGCCTGACCACCCTACGGCCTTTGATTGCTGCCAGAATTCCACCCGACCGTCGACAGCTGCTGGACTGTCGCCCGACCATAATCAAACCACTGCCTCGGCGTTAACTATTGAGGGACAACCACCCAGCTGTTGATTGCCACCACAATTCCACCCGACCATCGTTGGACTTCCACCCAGCTGCCTACCACTGCTAGACTTCCACCCGATCGTCATCAGACTTCTGCCTGACCTTGTCAAACCATCCCTCGACCGTTAACAACTGACACACTTCCACACGACCATCATCGGACCATCGCCTGACCGTCAACCACTATTAGGCTTCTACGCGGCAGTCGACTGCTGCCAGACTTCCACCCAACCATCAACGAACCACAACCAGGCTGTCGATGGTAGCCGGACCTCCACTCGGCTGCTGATAACCTCTATATTGAGCCAATGCCTTTCCTACAAGAAAGGGACTCATTTGTAATCAACCGCAAGTACTAGTGGATTCATTTAAACTGGGTTAGGCCTCGTGATTTTTTTTTCTTTTTTTTTTTTGGTTTTCACGTAAAAACTATGGTGTTTCTTATTAACGTTACACTCCTACTCTTTTATTTGTTCATTGGTTAGATATTCATATAAAGCAAATATTCTAAATTATATATTCTCTACCGTCGTGAATGTTTAAGTCATCAGCAATTATCAATCAATTATAAAATTAAGTAAAATGTTAAGACATGATTATTAATTATTATAATTTATATAAAAATAAATTGTAGAAAATTAAAGCAAAAAAATTTCCAAAAAGTATAAATAATCTAGAATAATATAGAAATACAATTTTATCATTTTTTAGTTTTCATTCATCCGTTTTTGACATTCTATATAAATATGGACTTGTTCAATGTTATGCTTAATGATGATTAGACTTTGGGGAAGCTTGAGCCTAGAGTTTGCATTGGAGTCTTCTTCATTTGGTCCTTTTGAATTTCTTTCTAAAGAATCAATTAAGCTACTAATTAGTTTAACACAAAATATCATCTTTATTGTGATTTTTTTGTCATAAGAGTAATTAGTAGATGCATTTAATAATCCATTTTAAATGACAACCCCATATGATTATAATTGATATATCATAAAAAAATTTATCTTTATCGGGCACGAAACGTGATGCAAAATCAAGTTTGAATTCCGAAATTAAAATTGGGACCATCTGAACTCCGATTTCAGCAAAATGTATAGCCTAACTGAGCATCTCGAGAATACAAACCCAACGACATCAAATCCAACCTAATCCGAGCCCAAATAGGTCCAAGGGTTACAAGCGTTGTTGGAAGGTTCAAACCACAATTTGGATTACCAAATAGTTTCCAAACATAATGTGCTTGTAGTCAAATCGAGCGGCTCGACGAGACAAATCCAACGAGCTCAAGATCACTAAAATCTGACATCACTGAGACATTCAAATGTCCATCAAACGGTCCATAATCAAGGGATTAAACATCAGCCGTCCATCTAACCACTCTCCATTTACCCTTGATCTCTCACCTACTTACGGTCCATGCCACTCCAGTCCGAACCCCATCCCTACTCCAATTTAGACTAGCTCGCAAGGAGACGGAACTCAACTCTCAGAGAAGGGCCCGAAATATTAAATGCAAATTCTCTCAATCGTGTAGCATCACATACATGTTTGCAATCAAAGTGTGAACGTGATTATCAAAATTTATATGAAATTGCTTCTATCAAAACTTTAATAAGTTCTGATGATATTCCATGTTAAGATCAAATGAGTCCAAGCTCTGAAACTAACACAATTGTCTATTTCCTTTATCAGTAGAGATGGGTTGTGTTCTCAAAGAAACAAACCATGCTTCTTTATCAATTCATGAGAAACTGCACATGTGAAAGAAATTTAAATGATGATAAAAAAAAAGGAGGCTGCTGAATCATTACTTATGAGCTCCAACTAGTAGCCTAAATTATCACAACTATAAAATTATGGGGCATGGCGTACAAGGATAACATGTTCTTTTTAAGTTGTACCGATGAAACCAAACACACAACATACTTCATTTGACGTCTAATCAATAAAGCATAGAGAGATAAATGATCTGACTTGCCATTTACTTACATATACCAATTAATTAATCCATGATCATGAGATGTATGCAACACATGAAGAGAATATTCATGATTGGAACCTTCTGTAGGATAAACAAGGCACGCCATATGATGCAATTTTCATAAAGGAAAAGATCTCATAACCAAGGTAACCAACCAGCTCTTTTTTTTTTTTTTTTTTTTAAAGGAAAAAAAAAACAACCTAAACATGGATTTTGAATAAGCTAACCCAAAATATAGTCACATTATTTTAATCCAAATTACTTAGCATAATCTTCATAAAAAAAAAACTATCCATGGCGATGAATGTTATAAAACAAGTTGATCGTATGATGCTGCTTACAACAAGAGACCAAAGTAACCACCACTCATTCTCAACCCAAATATTCAACATTAATATCATATCTTCGAGGAAAATAAAGAAAAGGAAAATGATGTGGAATCTTCGCCTCTAGATATATCCATGAAGCATTGAGTCAAGAAAGCAACTATCCAAGCATTATTATTCTCTCATTAGCATTTGGCCAAGCACTTTACATGTAATAGATTTTTGAACCTTTCTGAGTGTTCAACATACCACATAATTTTAACCATCTAAATATTCATGAAACCAATGCATTGTAACATATCTATTACAAGCTATCATAGACTAGCCTGTATGCATGTAACACATGTAAGTAAGCATACTTTCATTCTAAAGAGATTTCTAGAACCACTAAAAGCATATGTGAAATGAAGTGCGAACGCATTAACAATCCGTCAACCTTTCTAAACAAGAATCTTTCCTAGCAAGCACTATCACAAACACTTTTAATGCACATTTTGATAAAGAATAACATGGGCTTTTCATACTTTCCCACAATCTAACTAAAACTCATCGAGATTTGAAATAGAAAAGAACAATTATAATAATCTCATAACTTGACGATGAATGAAATGGGTTAAATACAATTCAATATCAATGTAAATACTCATTTCTCTTTTCATACTTCTCAAAAGAGAACAAGCAGGAAACGACATACTTTATATAATGATAGATCCGATGCGAATAACCATTTGTAACATGTATGAATTAATTTAGACACACTTCATGTGTATGTTCACTTGTGATGTCTACAAATATTCAACAACCAAGCTCTTTAGACTAGATGCATACGATAAAAAAAAAAAACTAAAAGGGAAAAGCCCTTACTTATGATAATACAATGCCATTATGTAACCATACTTGGCTAAATTTGAGAAAGGTTTTTTCAACATAATGTTAACAAATAAGCCTCATGATGCCTAATGAGATTAAACTATAACAGTGAACAAGGCAAAGATACAATTCCTTAA